CCATAAGACATACCTTTTACCCATACTTTGAGACACAAAATTGTAAGGGGAGCCCCAGCATCCTTGAAGAGCTCCGTGATCCCTCTTCTCTGTAGGCTAAATCTTTCAGTAGGAATTGGAAAACCTAAATGCAATAGGAGTAATTTGATCCTAGGGTAGCAGGGGCTAAGTGGTAGCACTCAATTGATAAATGCAAGGTGGGTGTGGCTACCATGATGGTCAACAGTCAAAGCAGCAATCAGAATAGTCTGATGTGCGCAACCCTATAACATTGGCTAGTTAATCACGGTGTTCCTAGAAGTGCAATATGTAGGAAGGCTACTATATTCTTACTTGATCTATATAACAGAAAGTTCTAGGTTAAGTGAACAAAATCTAACTCAAATCATAAAAACAGAGTCATGATCTATCAATCAATTCCCAGACTAGAACCCCTTTACAGACTCAGAACCTCTTCAATGAAGGGGAGGCCGAGTCCCCTTGAGGAAGGACCCCGGATACTACAGAAAATTTATACCATTATTCTTTCTCCCAGCTTTCCCCAAAGGGACATTTTACCAGGATAACTGTACATGGTGAAAAAGGATAAAATCAGACCTTTTAGAAACTACTGGACACTGGCTTTGAAATGACACTAATTCCAGGAGGCTCAAAATGCCACTAGTCCATCAGAGGAGAATGAGAATGATAAAGCAAATGTGACAAAATGTTAATTGATAAATCTGTGCCAAGGGTATAGTTTCTTTGTGTTATTCTTGAAACTTTTCTGTAATTTTGAAATTATTTACAAATAAAAAGTATATATATATATATATATATATATATATATATATATATATATAGAGAGAGAGAGAGAGAGAGAGAGAGACAAAGACAGAAAGAGAAAGTTTTCTCTACCTCATTCTGATCTGAGTCACAAAATCTTTGTTCTGAATTTGTGGGCCAGACCTGTAACCTGTTTCTAGACTTATGAAATATGTTAAAGGCATATATGTGATTATGTTACATAAGATGGTGAGACTCATCTTTCTGGATTCTCTCTTTCTCACAGACAGATGAAGCAAGCAGTCTTGTTGGCCCACATAAGCAGCTGAAGGCAGTTTCTAGGAGCTAAGGCTGATCTTCACTAACAGACAGCAAGAAACTGAAGCCTTCAGTCCTACAACCACAAGAACATGAATTCTAGCAATCACCTGAATGTGTTTTGAGGTGTATAGTTCCTCAATTGAATCTCTGTTGGGACTTCAGTTCTGACAACTTGAGCACAGTTTTGTAAGACCTTGAAGCAGACAACTCAGCTAAGCTATGACTAGACTCCAGATCCACTGAAAATGTGAAATAATATGTGTATGTTGTTTTAAGTCATTATATTTATGATAACTGTTATACATCAATAGGAAAGTAACACACAATGGAAGATTACAGGATGTCTTCCTCTATACAAAACCCTGACTGCAATGGTCCCATCCTGTCAGAGTCAAAGCCAAAGTCCTCATACTTTCTTACTGCTTTCTACTTGACTCCACGTTAGCTTCCTGTTTTGTTTTGTTTTAAAGAAATTTTATTGGGGAAAAGTGTGTTTTTCCAGCACCCATCAGCTCCAAGTCAAGTCGTTGTCCTTCAGTCTAGTTGTGGAGCGCGCAGCTCAGCTCCAACTCCAGTCGCTGTTTTCAATCTAGTTGCAGGGGGCACAGCCCACCATCCCAGGCAGGAATCAAACCAGCAACCTTGTTGTTAAGAGCACGTGCTCTAACCAACTGAGCCATCTGGCTGCCCACCTGCAGCTCAGCAGCAGCTCGGCTCAAGTTGTTGTCTTCAATCTAGTTGTGGAGGGCACAGCTTACTGGCCCATGTGGGAATCAAACCAGCAACCTTGTTGTTCAGAGCACGCGCTCTAATCAGTTGAGCCACTGGGCCACCCCTAGCTTCCTTTTTTATGCACCGACTGAACACACTTGCTGTAAAGCCTATGCCAAGACATTCCTCCTCCCCTCCCATCTCCACATGGCCCCCTCCCATGGCCACATTGCCCCCTTACCTCCTTTATTGACTTTGTATGTGACCTTCTCTATAAGCTCTCCCCTGATCATCCTAATAAAAACTGCAAACCAACACCCCCAACTCTGGCACATTCACCTTACTCTTTTCTTCCTTTTCATCTTCTTTGTCTGATATATGCTTTACTATAACTATTGTTCATTTTCTGTCTCCCCCTCTAGACGTCGCTCATGAGGGCAAGGGTCTTTGTTTTGTTCACTCATATAAACCAAAAATTTAAAATAATGTCTAACACAAAGAAAACACACTATAGACATTTCAGTAGGATACAATGGAACCTTGGCTCACAATTTTGAAAAATTGTGTATTTTTTAAGCAATACAATTGTTTTTTTAAATTAAACAATTCTGAGTAGAAGACAAATGCATATGGCACAAAAACAAAATGTTGTGACATGATAAGCAATGAGAAGCTTTACTCCTACTTATTCCCTGACTCACAAGTAGCCAAATTGAGTGACTTTTTTTAAGCAAAGACAAATGTACATTAGAATTTTCCCATTTTATTAGCCAGAAGGTAGCATAGCATATTCATTCTTGGACTTTAGGTATTTTTATACTTAACACTATATCCTAGAGCTATTTCCAGACCAGTACATGAAGGATGTCCACATTTTTCTTCAAAGCTATACACCCTTTAAACTTCTGAAAAAGCAGTCTGAAAGATGAGAAGCAGAAAATATTTCTTGTTTCCTGGCAGCTGCAAGGAAAGCAGATGTAGTTTGTCATCAAGCCTTGTGGAAGCAAATGGTTACAAAGGAATTATGTAGACTATGAGCTGGAAAAATAATCCCTAACCTCTGAAATTTCTGTTTTTCTGATTGATTTTCCTACCTAATGTACTTGGCTATCTAGTAATATTTATTGTTCTTTTCTCAAAGGTATAAAGTCCCAGTCAAATTTCTTTGTTAGCCACAAGTGCATCCACGGGATTCCAATATCAGATAATTTAACATTAGATCAATAGATCCAAATGGATCACATTGCATTCATCATATGTAATCTGTCACATGTAATATGATCTATCATAACAATGGATCAATACCCGATTTGATCTGGTTAGATGAAAGTACATCTTTTTTCCTATCTTTACTTGGAGATGAAGTATGGTTTAAGGTGTGTATGGGTGCCAAGTTGACAAAGGGTGGAATATGATGGCTAGTTTTATGTGTAAATGTGGCTAGGCTATACTACCCAATTATTGGATCAAAATTAACCTAGGTGCTGCTTTGCAGTTATTTTGCAGATATATTTAACATCTACAATAAATTGACTTTAAGCAAAAGATTTTATTTTGATGACAGAGGTGGGCTTTATCCAATCATCGAAAGGCGATATGAGAAAAAGTAAGAGTACCCTGAGGAAGAATTCAGCCTCAAGACTGCAACATTAGGTCTACCTAGAGTTTCCAACCTGCCCTCTACCCTATGGATTTGGACTTGCCAGGCCCTCAATCACATAAGCCAATTCCTTGAAATAAACCTCTCACATATATACTATGCATACATATATGTGATGTATGTATACATATGCCTATATAAGTGCATGTATGTACATACACATATATACATATTTATAAAATATGTATATTCTATTAGTTCTCTGCAGAACTCTTCGTTCCTTAACCTAATTAACGTCCTGTCATGATACTCTTCTCTCACTTTAAAAAAATTAAATCTCTTAAGGGCATTTTTTGCACTCCCTGATTCCATTTCTCAATCTCTCTGCATCCCCAAATAATGAAAGGCACATTTTATTCTCTAGGCTCCACAGTTGTGGGAAACCCACCAAAGGTGACTTCTAAGATTGTTTAATATACCTCTGGGTGTACATTAAAACCCTTAACATGAGTTTCTTGGTTTCTTGTCATCAACCACTTAATGAAATCGGCTTGGTCCAGGGCTCATGCTTTGCCCATTCTCCTCTCCAATCTACACTCATTCCTTTGACGGTCTCACCTAGTTCATGACTTGAAATAACAGTGTAAGATAACCCCCAAATTTATATATCCAGGCGCCATCTCTCTGCTAATGTTCAGTCATAGGTTGAAATGCCTATCTGGCAGACACTGTGTTTTCAGACATTTCAAATCCATCATGCTGGAAACGGGAGTCCTGAGTTTTCCTCCAGGCCTCCTCCACTTGCGGCCTCCCCACCTCAAAGGATGGCAAACTCATTTTTGGGTGATCTGGCCAACTGCGTGCCTTAGAAGTTCATTCATAAGGTAAAGTAGGCTCTGGGTCAAACAAGGCCCAGGAGAGTGCCAACGTGCGCAACGTATGGAGGCGGGACTTTCGCCGTCCTCCACAGGAGGATTCTTACGCTACTTTTTCGTCTGTGTATCCTAAGAAGAGGATCCAGGGAAGAGATAACGGGAATGGGGAAGTCACCAGGCGAGTCGAGGGCCCGACCCCGCGCCTTTACACTCGCCGTGAACTGGACGAATGTCCCTGCCTCCCAGGCCTCGATTTCCCCGGGGACGGGGGCTCATGCGCCTTTTCCGCAGAGGAAAGCCTCCTGGTTAAAGCACTGCTCGCGTCGTTGGATATTGGGGTGGGAGACTACATTACCCAGAAGGCTGTGCATCGTATGTGAGGCGGCCGCTGGCCAATGACGGCCCGGGACGGGCGATTCTGATGGCTTACGTGCGTGGGCGGGACTTCCGGGTTTTGCACAGCGGACGCCATTTGCCTCTGCGTTTGGGTTCCAGAGGGCCCTGTCTGGCCGACCGCTGTGCCTACTCTTCCCAGACATTTCGTCGGCTCACCTTTCCGAGCAGGGGAAGCGGATAGGAATCACCTCTGAGCCTGTGTACAGGCCTTGACTCCCCATAACGGGCGTGTCTCCGGGTCTCCCGCCGTGCCGCGGCCTCCCCGGGGCCTGTGTCACTGCCGTTCATCCCCGCCGTCGCCAAGGGCTGACCCTAGGGTGTTGTGCGCCCTTTACACGTAGGACAGTGAGGCTCGGAGTGCGACGGTCCGTCAAGGTCGCCCGGGTGCTCACTTTTTCCAGCCTCGCTCGACCTACAGGGTCCCACGATGGCGATGTCGCCGACCCACCAGACACAGGTGAGTGGACAAGGATTTCGGAATTTCTGCTTCTCGTTGTGGGTGGAGACAGTTTCTGACGGGGCTAGGAGCCAAGACATCCACCGGTTTGTCTTCGCAGATGTCTTGTGTTTTGTCAGGTGACGTTGGGTTGCCACTTAATTTGTCCCCAGTATTAAACGGTGTTGGGCCTCTTGACAGATTTTAAGTTGTTGAAAGAATGGATGACGCCATCTCTAGGGGTCCCGTCATAATTAGAATAAATCTCAACCCCTACCGCGTTCTGCAGGGATCCTCTCTGGCCCACCTGTCCTCCCAATAGGTGATCTTGGACATTGGGGTTAGAGGAGAGGGGCATTTCCAGACAGAGAGAAGTGCATGGACAAAAGAGAGGTATTGTGGTTGCTTAAGGAGGCCCCAGAGGGCCTGTGAGATTGCCATGGTTCCCCGGGCTGCTGAGACTTGTGTTGGGAGGGTGAGGGTGTGCAAGGTGCTCCACCTATCCTCATGCAGGACAGACTTCATGGCCAGTCAAAGGCGCTTCTTCTCGTGGCCACAGCCGGTGTTATCTTTAGTCATCTGTGGTCCTTGGTCCTGAAGTATCTTAGTCTCTCGGTAAGTGCCCTCAGGATTCAGGAAGGAAAAAGACTAGCAATTCATTGTGGAATCCCCTTGGGAGTCTGTGAGACCCAGGGGAGCTGGTCCAGGCCCTGCCATTACCAACGTAGGTGCCACCCTTTCAGGTGACTCTCCTGTGAAGTCGCTGGTGAGCCTTTGCTGCTCTATCCATGTTCACAGATGTATTTTTAGAGGTGACAAGAACTGATTTAACACAAAAACTGCTGAAAATGCTTGACAACCTTCTTACTGTGTATTCACTTCGATGATGGAGACATGCCAGATTACTCTGTTACACCCTTGTAGACAGTAACCTGTGCTAAAATCTTGCTCCTGGTTTGTAACACATGAGACTTTGGATGAACTGGTGGAACTCCCTTATTCTCACGTCATTCACTGTGGCATGGAGGTGATGAGATATTTACCTCAGGGGCTGTGGGAGAATGAATCAAAATCCCAAAGCACACCAAGCATTGAATAATTTCTGTCTACATCTCACAACTTTTATTGGTGAAGTGGAACTATTATTGTATTGATCCAGAAACTGAGGCTCAGAGAAATGAAGTGATGTCTCCAAGGTAGGACAGTTGGCCAGTGTCGGGTTTCAAGAGTTTGAATGCAAACCAAGAGAGACTTAAGAACTGGAGACTTTTAGTCACTTAACCAGGATGTGAAACCCTAAGCATGGGGCAGGTGGTTGCAGGATCAGTGAGGCTCAGATATTGCTGTTATTACCATTATTGGTATTATTATCGTTATTTCCTCAGTCCTTTGATGTCTTAGAGCCCTTGCTATCTGCATCTCATAGTACATATGTTGTTTCCACTGTCTTGTGTGACTTTTCAATGAATTCCACATAGGAGGCTTCTTTTTTGCACTCTTATGTCCAAAGCATTATCCGCTTCCACCCTGAGCCCAGCACTGAGCTCGTCTCTCAGGAGATATTCGATGATTAAGGCTTTGATGTATACACGTTTACCGTGATGCAGAATGAGCGCTGATTCTATGCAACAGCCACAAGGCCAATGCTACTACCTCTATTTCACATTCCAGATGTCTGTGACCTTTGATGATGTGGCTGTGACTTTCACCCAGGAGGAGTGGGGGCACCTTGATCTGGCCCAGAGGACCCTGTACCAGCAAGTGATGCTAGAAAATTGTAAGCTCCTGGTGTCTCTGGGTAAGTCCTCCCCACTCTGCCATGGGGGACACCTGCCACCTCCTTCATTTCAGCCTCTGGCTCTATCTTGGCTGGTCAAGAAGGCTCCACGAGCCTTCCCTCCCTCCTGCCACCAGCTTCAGTCATTTTCTAGACTCACCTCTTGCAGTCTCCTGGTCTCTGTTGGGCAAGAAACGATTTCCCTCTGGCTCCTAGAAAGTGGTGGAAGGAACTGGGGGTGTTCTGTAGAACCCAAAGGCAGATGTCCAGTCGGGCCCACTGAGGGACTGGTAGAGGAACTGGGAACCACCAGGACTACACCTGGCTGCTGGGTCTTTTCTTCTGGCTTCTCTCTCTGGGTCTGCTTGTGTCACTCTATTCAGAATGGCGTTTACTCCTCAGCTGGTTTGCAACAGTACTGGCCACCTCAGTGTTGGCTCTCTGTGGCCCCAGATTCCTTGTCTGTACTTCTTTGCACGTTTATATTGTTTCTTTTTCTTACTTTGCGACTAGGCTCCCTGGGGCATCCCTGAGGCAGGAATGGCCACACAAGCCCATACTTTCCGGGACCTCTCACCCCAGTGCCCAGCACAGACTGGCTTCTGTCTGAGGTCCTTATTTCACATTGCAGAGAGGGATCTGACTGAGCGAGCCTGCTCAGCTCAAGTATCCCTACAGGCCAGTTGTCAGGGCCGTGAGTGACGGGATGTTGTGCAAGAAGGGGGTGAGCAGGCAGGTCCCTAGGAGGCCTTTGCCCTCGTTGCCATTGGGTATTGTCCTGAACAACATGGTCTCGGCTATGGGCCTTCCTTTTATTTGGGTGTTTACCTGATAAGCTTCTGGCAGTTGCAAGTGGCCTCTGTTGTGAGTGGTGGCCTCCATTTTTAGGGAGTCCCAAACAACCTCAGAGGGGCTGGGCTTACATCTAGGGGACCAGTGGTGGCAGCCCTGGCATCCTGATTGTGTGACTGGTTTTAGGGAGGAGACTTTTAGAATGCTGAAAGGCAGTTGTACTCGGAAGTTCCTAGATACATTGGCCAATTGGCTGTACAATCACGAATGAATTGAGAGATCTTCTCAGGTGTCTCAACGGGGACCAGGAAAAAAGATACTCCTTACTCTAGTTATTTTACTTTTTCACTATACATTGAACCACCAGTCTCAAAGGATGGGATCCCTGATACTCTATAGGGTTCCAGGCGCAAATGCAAGAGTATACAGCAAGCGACAGTGACAAGATTTGCCCATGAAGCAGTTTAAGCCTCTTCTTTGCAATGGCATCTGTGAGGGGATGTCCTACGCCACATTGCAAGTAGATCCCTGTACACCACCAGGGACCAGTGTCTGGACTCTTCTCCAGAGGTACCCTCTTAACAGGACAGACCAGTGCATTCGGTTCTGCAGGATGGGGAGGGAGAGTGACACCCCTCAGCAGCCACTGCCTGCAGTGTTGTTGACTTAGTTGGTGACGCTTGTATCCCAACACAGTCTCTGGGGGAACATCACCCTGCTGCAAAAGCCAGTTATCTAGCTATCCTGTTTGCCCCTGGCGTCACCAGCCCAGAAATTTGGTCTGTTAACCACAGAAAAACAGACTGATGAGATCGGTCTTCCAGATAAGGTGCTAACTAGGCAGTTGTAGCCCTTGCAGACCTAGATAACCGTAGCTTTAAAACTGAGGTACTGTCACGTCCAGCGTGGCAAGGGCAAATGGGGCACGAGAGGGGCGATGCAGATTAAATAAGTGCTCATGAGACAAAAGTCAGATAGGAACGAGACCAAGGGACACAGCCTGTAAGACTGAGCCCCGAATCGGGTCTTCGTATGGCTTTTGAGAAAAAAATTAAAGGAAGAGAAACTGAATTACTCAAAGATCCGTGTGCTACGTGCCTTAAGGCTGTTTTCCATTAACCAGCTCCCACTGTATTCCAACATGTACGATTCCTTCGTACAGCCTGCACAACCCCCAGGACAGCGTTACTGTTCGTGTGCTATTCAATTAAGGGAGATGACCGATATCATTCCACCAGGTCTCGGTAGTTCCGACAAACTTCCTCAGGACCTCGTTAGGTCAGGGGTTGGGGGGCAGGGCGGGGGGGGGGCGGTCGTGGATGTAGCTGTAAGGCAACAAGGCACTCCTTCAAAACTCTGCTTAGGGTTTAAAAATAGAGGTAGATTGTTGAAGGCACATGTCATGTTTGATATTATTCCATAAATTCATTTCAATTTTAAGTAACATAATGCATTTAAACTGCCTGGCACAGTTCTGGGGATATGGTTACACTATATAAATGTTACAAAGCACCTGTACCCAGGAGCCACAGTTTAGTGAAATCTTGTTAGAAAGTGACATTTGAGCTGAGACCCAAAGAGTTAGAGTTAGCTAGAAGGAACTAGGTAGGAGTCAGAACAGCTTTTCAGGTGGAAGGGCGTACACATGCAAAGGCCCTGAGGTCACAGGGATAATGACTCCTGACAGCACTAAAGGACAGTCTTGTTCACCTTTCCACTGCCTCGTCACCAAGCCCTGTGCTGGGCACGTGGCAGACATGAGTGAACATTGTTTAGTGACAACTGATGGACCCTGGGCTGTGGTTCACAATCTCCCAGGGGCGGCTTTTGGTGCCTCTCACTGACTTCTCACAGACACCCTGCATCTGTGCTTGGCTACATGTGACAGACCAGCTCAGTCTTCACCCTGAAGGCAATTTCCTGTCTCCTAAGGAGCTCAGAGATGGGGCAGGCTCCTGACTTGTGGTGAGTGCCGACCCAGTGTCTGTGTTTTTGTTTTCTGTCATTGGTCTGGGTCCTTAGGCAGATTTTCTCACAGAGGTCCCAGGATGCTGTAGGAGCAAGTGGAGCTGCAGGTCCCCTCACTCAGCCATCCTGCAGTGACTGTTTCTCCCCACAGAGTGGCTGATATAGGTCACTCCCTACCTCAAACTACTGGTCACTGAGGAGGCCAACTGCGAACTGTGAGCACCAGGGGTTTCAACCCTCCCTCGATACCAGATCACCTGGAGAGGTTTTTAAATCTACTTTCTGGGCCTTACCTGCTTTCAGCTAGATGTGAACCAGACACCCCAGGAGGTGCTGACACACAGGCGGTGGAGACCCACTTACTTGGATTAATTAGAGAGGACCTTCTGGAAGGAGGGGGTTGTATCTCCCAGGTCTTACGGCGACAAATGAACAGACCTGGAATTCCATGAAATGGAATGAAAGGGAGTAGGTGCTGTCTACGCAGCCAGGATTACTGTTTATGGTTTATGATCCCAATGGCTGTGTTTGTTCCCTGTCTTTCCAGGTCATGTCAGCATTTGCATGAATGGGAGCAGCGTCATTCTGAGGCCTGGTCCACATCCTAAAGTCACCACCTAGACTGACAGGTTTTATTTTTTTTCACAGAAATCCTTATGTCCTCTTTCTCCATGAACAGGGTGTCCTGTTCCCAGACCTGAGCTGATCTACCAGCTGGAGCACAGGCAGGAGCTATGGACGGTGAAGAAAGACCTCTCGCAAAGTACCTGTCCAGGTAGGAGCCAAGATGTGGGCAAGTGAGAGACCCTGCAGCTTCAGACCTCGAGGAGACCACTGTCATGCATCCCTGGGGAAGCTTCTTGTGGCCTGTCTGGTGGTTTGGAAGCCATGGAGCCCTTTGATCTGTGGGCCCTCTGACCTCTTGGAGGACAGAGGTGTGTGACTAAGATCTGTCTTAGGCTCAAAGCCTGGCTTGCCGACCACCAGCTCTGTAGCTGCAGCGAAGTTGCAGATCTCGCTATGTCTTTGTGTAAGCTAAGACTAGCTACTGGATCAGACAACTCCAGAATCTCAGTGCTCAGCATATGGAAACTGTTTCTCTCACTCCCACTGGGGTGGATCCATGTGGGTCAGCAGGGAGCTGTGTACCGCACAGATATTCGGGGACCCAGGTCCATTCTGTCATCATGTGGCTTTCATGTTGTCCTGACATCCTGCAGCTGGCAGAGGAAAATGGAGAGAGGAAGGGGCTCTGTTGCATTCACTCCCACAAATACCATGTTCCTTTTACATCCTACTGACAAGAACTAGGTATTCAGGCACACTTGGGTGTGTGGGGCTGGGAAGTGTGGCAAAGCTTTGTGTCCAGTTTGAGGAGCAAAGGGTTTGGTGAGTGTTGTCTGCTACACTTGGTGTGTTCCTGGAAGATGCTGGTAATCATTGTTTCTGTGTCATCAGGTTGTTTGTGGCTGTAAGCACATCATGTATTTATGTGTAAAACTGCTTTGCACAGTGTCTGAGCCATACATAGTAAGTGATTCATGAAAAGTAAGCTGTTGGTACTTTTCATGTTCCGTTAGTCCTAGTGAGTGAGGTAGCTCACGTTTCCCTCTGAACTCTGAGGAGAAGGGCCTTTCTTCCTCTCCCAGTTACCCTCTCTAGCTCTACTCTGCCTGTCCCCCTTCTCCCTTCACCCATCCTGAGTGTCAGCCAGAAACAGGCACTTCCTCTCCCCCTGTCTTTCTGCACCTCCTGTTTAGAAAAACCTCAAGGTGACATTTGATCTTCTCTGCCCCACATCTGGGCTGCTGAGGGTACTGGGCCATGAAGTGTGGAGATTGGTGTCACTCAGTGCCATGTTCTCTCCCCTCTGTTGGTCTCTTGGGCTTCTCAGCCAGCCTGTGAATCTACTCAGCCCATCGTCAACCCCTTAGGTCTGCTCCAAGCCTTCTGCCCTCTCCTCAGTCCTACATCTCTACTTGAAAGCCTCAAAGGCACCTAACGTCAGCATGCCTGGCAGTTACCCATGACGTGGCTCACTCCTCCCACCTCCAAGTTTCAGTGAAGGTCCTGCCACTCAAGCAGGTTAGAGACTGAACTCTGCCTCAGAGAATAACATAGCTCCACCTCTAGCCATGCCTGCATCCAGTCATCCAGACAATGCCCCCTTCCCACACATGTCTCAGCGTGTGACCAGGACTTGTCAACCAGTTTCCACTTTGAAAGAAAATACCACCTCCTCCTGTTGCCTGACTCTCACCCTGACACATTCATTTACTCTTGTGTCTGTGACTTCTCCTTTCACCTGGTGGTAAGGTCTTGGCCCTGGCCATGAACCAGAGTTCAGATCACACCTTTTCAGGGAAATTCTTTGCTTGTATTCTTTGCTTATATGCTATTTTTGTAACTTTATCCTTTTTCTGCTCAACATAAAAATATGCTCAGGGTCCTTATAGTTGAAGAAAATAAAAAATGCACCTGGGGCCGACCAAGTGGCTCAGTTGGTTAAGAGCACAAACTCTGAGCAACAGGGTCACCGGTTTGATTTCTACATGGGCCAGTGAGCTGCGCCTGAGCTGAGCTGCTGCTGAGCTGCCAACAGGTGGTGACAGCACATGCTCCTAACAACAAGGTTTCCAATTCGGCTCCTGCGTGGGATGGTGGGCATAGCCCACCATCTTGAACACGGCGCCTTGAGCTGAGCTTCCTGAGCTGCCGTCGGGTGACCGGATGACTCAGTGGTTAGAGCATGGGCTCTTAGCAACAAGGTTTCCGGTTTGACTCCTCCATGGGATGGTGGGCTATGCCCACCCACAACTAAGATTGAACACGGCACCTTGAGCTGAGCAGCCGCTAGCTGCCCACAGGTGGCCAGATGGTGACTGGATTTGGAGCTGAGCTAGCTGCGCCTCCACAACTGAGATTAAAGGACAGCAACTTGGCTGTTCCCCTTCCCCAATTCTCCAATAAAACCTTAAAAAAAAAAAAATGCTTCTGTCTCACATTGTATTCATCCACTCTTGGAGAGGTTTAACTTTTTGCATCTTTTCACTCATAAACAGTTGCCAAGATCATTCATACTTACTGGTCACCTTGCCCTAGGTTAGGGGTGTCCGTGATTTTTCTTGGAGTGGATGGTTGAATGACAGGCTGTGCAAATTTTCAAGTTTACACAATAATTGCCATTGTTTTCTCAAGTGGCTATACCAGTTCACACTTCTCCCAATAAAAATGGGAGTTTCCATTGATCATATCCTTTCCACTCTTTGATAGTCTAAGGCTCCTCAATTCTTGCTTCTCAAGTGGACATGCAATTGTATCTCATTGTCTTTAGCACCTTATATGATTGTTGACCAATCTGTGTTTTCATCTTTGAAATGTCATTTCACGATAAATGCCTACTTTTCTATTGACTTGTTTGCTTTTTAATTTGTAGCAATTTTTTGTACATTTCTGATACTTTTATCAGTTATGCTACTATATGATTTTCTATTTTTTAAAGTTCTCACTCTCTTTAAAGTACATTTTGTTGAAGAGGTTCTTATTTTAGTGTAATCTAACTTATGACATTTCTTATATGATTGATGATTTTTTGTTTTGCATAAAAATCTTGCTTTACACCCAATATCAAAAAGATATTCTTGTTTTATTCTAAAAGTTTTAAAACTTGGCATTTGACATTTAACTGTTTGCTCTGAAGTAGCATTTGAGTACAGTGTGAGATAGGAATGCGATTTTGTCATGCCCAGAGAGTCACCAGTTTTTTCAGCTCTGTTTACTATATATATATTCTGTCCTTCTACCACCAAGCTGCTGTGCCTCCTCTGCCATCTTTGATAGCTCCATGCATGTGTGTGTGTATTTCCTGAGCTCTCTATTCTTGTTCCAGTGCTTGTTTGTCTTTCTGTGGCAGTACTACTGTGTCTTAAAATCTCCCCTTATATTATCTAGTTAAGTAGGTGTCCATCTTTTTATTCTTGCCTCTTTGGTCTTTCATGCAAATCCACAATCAGACCATAGTTCTGTGATAACCTGGTTGTCACTTTATAGGGCATTGTATTGAATTTTTTTATTCATTTGGGTAGAATTGTTTTATATTATTAAATTCTTCACTGGTAACCCTCTTTAATGTCTTCAAGTAAAGTGTTATCATTTTGTCCATCTAGATCATGTGTATTTTGCCAGTCTTTTCACCAAACTGTTCCTCAGGCATACCAGACAACATTTTCAGCCCATTCCTGCTCATCTCCTGCCTTATGAGCCCTGTTCTGGGAGTCCCCCGAGTCAGAACCTTTGGAATCAGCTCCTCTCTGTCCCCATGTGTGCCTGGATTATCATCAGCATTGTCCTGTCATGCTCTGCATTGTCTTCATACATTCGGTCTTCTATGGGAGACAGTGGGAAGTGCTCTTCCCACTTACTGTCCGTGGCAGCTATTAAGGTGCCAGTAGGACTCACATCATGGGCACCTCCTATTGGAAAATTCCCTTGATGTTTTCCTACACAGAGTTAGCCAAACTCAAGGTTAAGGACACAGAACTCATGACTGCCTTGTCTGCCCAGGTCTTCTGACACCAGCTACAAGTTCAGGGATTTCCTAAAACCACCCTTGGGTTTGATGATTTGATAGAAAGACTTAGAAAACTCCCTAAAACCTGTTATACTCACTATCGTATTTATTACAGACAAAGGATACAAATTAGAAGACATGCAGAGTGTGGGGCTGAAAGTGTTCCAAACACAAAGCCTCTGTATCCTCAGCAGCTCGTTACCTCCTGGCATTGATGTGCATGGAGTATTGCCTGCCCAGGAAACACACCAGAGCCTCGGTATCCAGATTTTCATTGAGAGTTCATTACATAAGCACTCTTGATCGAGTCTTTGCCAGTGGGACTCAGTTCAGTCCCTAGCCCTCCTTCCCATTGCTGAGGCCCAGCTGATATCTTGTGGCTCAAAGCCCCAACTTTCTAATTATATGGTTGGTTTTTTTGATGTGGCCAGACCGTACCCTGAGTCATCTCCTTAGTATAAACTATCTAGGGGCCCATAATGAGTTATCTCTTGTCATAAACTATCAGTTACGTTTCTTGGGGCTCACCATGAGTAACAGAGACACTCCTGTCATTCTGCAAATACTCAGAATTTAGAGGTTACTTCCTTGCGTTGAGACAAAGATCACTCTTCTCTGTGGGGACTTTAATTTTGCATTAACCACTTCCTGTCTTCACTGGGGCTGTGTTAGGTGCCTTTTCTTAGTGTTTTTGTTTGTTTGTTTGTTTGTTTTTTAAATGTTATTGGAGAACAGTGAGTTATTCCAGGGCCCATCAGCTTTAAGTCAAGTAGTTGTCTTCAATCTAGTTGTAGAGGTTGCAGTTCCTTGGCCCATGTGGGAATTGAACTGGCAACCTTGGTGTTATGAGCTTGTGCTGTACCACCTGAGCTAACCAACCAACCACCCTCCTAGTGTTCTTGGAGCAAGTGGGATGCCCTCGTTCAGAGGAAATTCGAAATACACAGCGTCATTGTTATTATGTCTAGTCTGGAATTGTGACAGTGTCTCCACTCTAGATCTGCTGTCCCCTCATTCTGCCACTCCCCTGGGTTTCCCTTTTCAAAATTTCCAGGAACCAGGGAAAAAAAAAATTGCAATCCTGGGATTCAGAGGTAGCATAACATAGCAGGCACAGAGGCACTGTTTTCACCTTCAGTTTTTCACTGAAATACTGATTTTGTTTCTTACGTGTTGAGATTACTAACAGGCTCTTTTGTGTACTGTATTGTATTTCAGGTGACAAAGAAAAATTCAAGACCACAGAACTTACTACCACTTGTGAGCCAGTCCTGTCTGAGGAAGCCTTACTTTGGGAACACATAACGCAAAAAGTTCCAGGGGAGCCCCAGGTGGACCAAACCAAGGATCAGAATGGGCCATCAGAATTGAATAGAGGACACATAAGATCAGGAATAGACCTCCAGAAGGAGAAGCTCCTTGAGAACCCTGAACATGGTGGCTTAGGGATAGCTAATGGTGTATGTTCAAGGATTGTACAGGAACCAGTCCTTCCAGGACGTGCTGTTCTTGACCATGACTCACGTAAATCAGGTAAAGATCCCATGGTTCAGGAAGAGGAAAATATCTTTAAATGCAATGAATGTGGGAAAGTTTTTAACAAGAAACACCTTCTTGTTGGACATGAAAAGATTCACTCGGGAGTGAAGCCCTATGAATGCACAGAGTGTGGGAAAACCTTTATTAAGAGCACACACCTCCTTCAACACCACATGATCCACACAGGGGAGAGGCCCTATGAGTGCATGGAGTGTGGGAAGGCTTTCAACCGCAAGTCATACCTTACACAACACCAGCGGATTCACAGTGGAGAGAAACCCTATAAGTGCAATGAATGTGGAAAGGCCTTCACCCACCGCTCCAATTTTGTCCTGCATAAAAGGAGACACACTGGAGAAAAACCCTTTGTGTGCAAAGAATGTGGGCAAGTTTTTCGACATAGGCCAGGATTTCTTCGACATCACATCATCCACAGTGGCGAAAATCCCTATGAATGCTTTGAATGTGGTAAAGTCTTCAAACATAAGTCATACCTCATGTGGCACCAACAGACTCACACTGGGGAGAAGCCCTATGAGTGCAGTGAGTGTGGGAAAGCCTTCTGTGAGAGTGCAGCCCTCATTCACCACTACGTCATCCACACAGGGGAGAAGCCCTTTGAGTGCCTCGAGTGTGGGAAGGCCTTCAACCACAGGTCATACCTCAAGAGGCACCAGCGGATCCACACGGGAGAAAAGCCTTTTGTGTGCACTGAGTGTGGAAGGGCCTTTACCCATTGCTCCACTTTTATCTTGCATAAAAGAACCCACACTGGAGAAAAACCTTTTGAGTGCAAAGAATGTGGGAAAGCCTTCAGCACTAGGAAAGACCTCATTCGACACTTCAGCATTCACACAGGGGAGAAACCCTATGAGTGCAGTGAGTGTGGGAAGGCCTTCAACCGTAGGTCAGGCCTCACGAGGCACCAGCGGATTCACAGCGGAGAAAAGCCCTATGAATGCATGGAGTGTGGGAAATCCTTTTGCTGGAGCACAAACCTCATTCGACACGCCATCATCCACACAGGGGAGAAGCCCTATAAGTGCAATGAGTGTGGAAAGGCCTTTAGTCGCAGCTCATCCCTGAGTCAGCATCAAAGGATGCATTCTGGGAGAAACTCTGTCAGTGTAACAGAAGTGGGAAGACCCTTCACAAGTGGGCAGACTGCAGTCACTCTCCGAGATCTCCTTTTGAGGAAAGACTTTTTGAATGTAACCACTGAGGAAAATGTTTTGCCAGAGAAAACATCTACCACAGCATCTGATTGTACATACCAAAGAGAAACCCCACAAGTATCTTCGCTGTGAGAAAGCCTTTTGTTGCAGATCGTCACTTGTCATGTGAAGGTGAATTTCAGAAATTGATCCAGCCTAGTGTCTTATTCTGCATCTGAGAATTCATCTGTGAGGGAGACACTAGTCTTATTGTGCAACAAGGAGAACCTTCACTTACATTTTTCTACTTAGTTTACACTGCAGTGTTAATCTCAGGAAATTTTTTTTAATCAAGGAGAAGACTTGTAATGAGACTTCTTTGTCAAGCCTATGGCACTTTGTCATGGATTACTTAGGTTACTTGGGGCAAGGTGAATGTTGTCTCAGGGGTAAAGGGCCTTGACCCTTTATATGTCTTATGTCAGGAGAGAGAAGATATTTAAGGAGATAAGGATACACATGAATGTGCACATTCTGTTGTACGAATTAGGACTATTAAGGCTTTGATTTAAAAAACAAACCATCCTCTATAGGATTTTAAAATCTAATACATCTTAATCCCAATCTATTGTTTTTTGTAGCTGTATTGTAAGTCTTTAAAGTGAGTAAAGTGATTCATTTCTCTTTATTATTTAAAATTGACGTAGCTTTCCTAATTCCTTTGACTTTTCATATAAATCTTAAAATAGTTTGTCTATTCTTTTTTTGGGGGGGAGGGGAACAGACAAGTTCCTGTCATTTTGTTCTTCAGTCTAGTTGTGGAGGACGTCGCTTCACTGGCCCATGTTGGCATTATCATTGCGCTCTTCCAGGGTGAGGCAGATCGGTCACCAGCCTCTGGACAGCCACTCACGGCGGCTCTTGGCAGCTCACACCGGCTGTCGGCTGCTCACGCTAGCTGCCGGCCACACACGGTAGCTTATGGCAGCCCACTGCAGCAGAGGCTGCAGCCTACACCGGCAACTCACGGCAGCCCAGCTCCAGGTCGAGCTGTTGTTCACCATCTTAGCTGTAGAGAGTAGTGTCATGTCACTGGCCCTCATGTGGGATCCAAACCAGGGCCCTGCTGCTCTGAGCTGGTGTCCCAAGCCAGCTGTTAACCAATGCGCCACTCGGCCGGCCCCACGTTTGTCTATTCTTACAAAAAAAATCTTGCTCTCGTTTTGATAGAAATTGATTTCAATCTGTAAATCAATTTGATAATTGGCCTCATGAACAAGTACATGATATGACTGTATTTGCTTTAAGTAATTCTTGATTTATTTCATTAGCATTTTAAAATTTTCAATAGACTGGTTCTGAAAAATTTAGTTAGGATTTGTGCCTAGGTTTTTGTTTTATTTCTTTTTTGAGTGATAATAAATGACATTGTTTTTTAAACTTTAATTTTCCACATGCTCTTTGGTAGTACACAGAAATGTAATCGTTTTGATATCCACAACCTTGCTGAACTCACTTCGTATTGGCCATTTCTTTGGATAGAATCCTTGAGATTTTCTACCTAGAAAAGACAGCTGCAAATAGAGTTTTACTTCTTGCTTCCCAATTTCTATACCTCTAGTTTCCCTTTCTTGTCTTACTGCACTAGCTAGGACCTCCAGTAGGATGTTGAATAGGAATAGTAAGGAAGGATATCCTTGACTGGTTCCTGATACTAGGGGGGGAAAATTCAGTTTTTCATCAGTATGTAATGATGATAGTTATAAGTCTTCATAGAGTTTTCTTACCAAGTTTAGAAAGTTTGCTTCTATTCCTAATTTGCTGAGATTTTTTTTTTGTTATGAGTAAGTATTGGATTTTAAATGCTTTATCTCCATTAATTGACATGATCATCTGATTCCCCCCCCTGTGGTCTGTTGATATGACAGCATTGCATTAATTGTGTTTTCAATATTGAACCAGAATTGCATTCTTGGAATAAAACCCATTTAGTTGTGGAGTATGATTCTTTTTACATACCATATGAAAGCATTCCATTTGATTATATTTTATTGAGCAAGTTTTCTTCTAATTTCTTGAGTGATAACTATGTGTATTTTTCACTGTTTTTTAAAATTAATTAATTAATTAATTAATTTTAAAGGTTCTATTGGGGATTTGGGGAAGGGGAACAGCCAAGTTGTTTTTCAAGTTGTGCTTTCAGTCTTAGTTGTGTAGGGCGCAGCTAACTCAGCTCCCAAGTCCAGTCAATTTATGGCTGCCCATCAGCAGCTCGTGGCCACTCAGCTCAAGGTGCTGTGTTCAATCTTAGTTGCGCATGGCCATAACCCACCATCCCATGCAGGAGTCGAACCGGAAATCTTGTTGCTAAGAGCCCATGCTCTAACCACTGAGACATCCGGCCACCCGACGGCAGCTCAGGGCAGCTCAGCTCAAGGTGCTGTGTTCAATCTAGTTGCAGGTGGGCATAGCCCACCATCCCATATGGGAGTTGAATCGGCAACCTTGTTAGGAGCATGTGCTGTCACCAGCTGAGCCATCCTGCCAGATCAGCTCCGATGTAGCTCACTGGCCCATGTGGGAATCAAACCTGCAACCCTGTTGCTCAGAGCTCGCTCTATTAACCAACTGAACTACTCGGTCAGCCCACATTCCCCATTTTTTTTTTTTTGAAACGAGGTTTTGTTTGTTTTCTTTTAATTATTTTTTATTATGAAATACACATTTTTTTTAGAATTAGGTTCAGCTGTACAACACAGTGCAATAGTTATACTTTTTACCCCTCGAAGTGACAACCCCCCTCCCCCAATCCGCCACCCCACTTCTCCCCAATATCATACATGTCTATTACAATTCCCTTGACTCCACTCCCACACTATACTCCATGTCCCATGACTATATATATATATATATATATATTTATAGTTGACATACAATATTATACAACATCAGCTTCAGGTATACAGTGCAGTGATCAAGCCTCTTCCCCATCCATGATGTGGTCTCCCTAGCAAGACGTGACCACCTGACACCCTACAAAATATTTACAACATTATTAATTATATTCCTCGAACTGTCTTTCATGTCCCTGTGGCAATATTGTAGTTACGTATTTATGCTGTCTAATCCCTTCCCCTTCTCCCTCATCCCCACCCCCTCCCAACTAGCAGCCATCAGTTGTTCCTCTATATCTCTGAGATCACTTCTGTTTACTTTCCTCGTTCATTCAGTTTTTTAGATTCCACATATAAGTGAAATCATATGGTATTTGTCTTTCTCCGACTGACTTATTTCACTTAACACAATAGTCTCTAAGTCCATCCATATCGTCCCACCCATTCTTAATATAATTGTTCTGAGAGTTTCCTTTTCATACACTGAGTGCCATATTGAATAGTGTTATAATTCTGCCTCAACTGTCAAATGTTGTTTACAAAACTCACTTCATTTTACTAAAATAGATCAAACCATCTGCAAATTATTTTTCTCATTTCACAATACATCTTGGCTATCCCTTTAGATTGAGGGAGATAAACCAAAGTCACTCTTTTTCATGGCTGCATGATCTGTGTAGAAAATACAATGTCTGAGTTTGAGGTTGGAATAGAGAAGGGCTGAGGCATGCATTAGGTTTTTGGCGTTGTGTTTTGGTAGGCCTGAAAAACATCTCTGTGAATCCCGTTATGTTCTGTTGTGTTGTCCAAGCCAGAATGACACCTCATAGTCATTTTACTTATATTATCCTGTGTCCAGTCACTGTCTCATTTTTTTCATTTTACCTTTTTTTTAAACTCTTAGTAGACATTCATTATGTATGTGTTTTAGTGAATGGCTGCACACAGCAGTGTATTTTTATTCTAATGTTGGATCCCTCACAGAATGCTGACACAAAGCCATGTGTATAGTTGGTAGAGTACCTGACATTTGAACCTCAAAGAGAATCTACATGGGCTTCTATGGCCAGATCTATAAGACTATTGGGTTGTCGGAAAAGTCATGATGTATTTTGTGATTTTCAAAGGTCATTTATTTATATAAAGAACAAAGATCAATCAGTGACATATTGCCCATTTTGTTTGATAACCTTTTGCCAACTTTCACTGAGCTTCTTAATTCCTCGTTCATAGAAGAACCTGTCTTTATTTGCAAAAAAACTGAACAAGGTGCTGATTTACAGCCTCATCTGAATTGAACCTTATACCACGCAAGGAATTTTGAAGAGAGCAAAACAAGTGGAAGTCTGAGTGCAAAAGGTCAGGCAAGTATCGGTGTAGCAACAAATTCCATCCAGGCTCCAATAATTTTTTTTTTTAAAGATTTTTTTATTGGGGAATTGGAGGGATGGGAACAGTGCTGGGGAATTGGGGGAAGGGGAACAGACAAGTTGCTGTCGTTTTGCTCTTCAGACATTGCTTCACTGGCCCAAGTTGGCACCATCATTGCGCTCTTCCCGGGCGAGGCAGATCAGTCACCGGCTTCTGGACGGCTGCTCACTGCAGCTGCTAGCCGCTCACGCTGGCTGCTGGCTACACACGGTAGCCCATGGCAACCCACTGCCACAGGGGCTGCAGCCTACGCCGTCGCCGGCGACTCACGGGAGCCCAGCTCCAGGTTGAGCTGTTGTTCAGCATCTTAGCTGCAGGGGGCAGCATCACTGGCCCTCATATGTGAGATCCGAACCGGGGCCCTCTGGCATCCCAAGCCAGTTCTTAACCATCGCGCCACTCGGCCGGCCCTATATGTGATTATTTTTACGTAAATACACACACATGGCTTCAAGTGGTCTAACTTGCAGATATGTCTATTGTTTAGCTTTGTCTATAAAGATGTAAAGGCCAGATCAATGCCTCCATAGCAGATATGTCAACAATTTCTCGTCTCTCTGTTCCCACTGTTGATAACTCTTAGCTGTTGGCTTCAACAGAGAACTAAAGAATACATGCATTGTTCAGTACTTGAGGTTGAGGCATGTGTTACTGCAGGCTTAGTCATGTTCACGGATCTGTGTGTGTTTTACTTGGAGAGTGTGGGAGCAGGTGGCCCTGGTTGGGAGGGCCCTCTACAGGGACATGATGCTGAAGACATATGGGAACCTGGTCTCTGGGAGTATGTGCAGCTTCCCTTTGTACTCACCCTCCAGCCCACAGACCACCTTTCCTGTCTCAGTTGTGGGAAGCTGGGGTACCTCCAGAATCCTCAGTGATGTCATCCTTGTGTTTTGAAGGTTAAAGATTTGTAATCTGTTTTCTTACAGGTATGTTACACATCTCACAATTGAATGGTCTCAGCTAAATTGTAAATGGACAGCCTAATTTGCCTCTCCCAGCATTGTTTTTTCCTGCTGCTTGAGTAGACAATTCCTGTCCACTTTGCTACCCTTTATTGTGGCTATCCATGTATTTTTACACTTGTGTTTCTATTCTGAAGTTTTTGAGGTTGGGATCTTGCTGATCTTGCAGAGACCTCTTCCCAGGGCTAGCTAATTCCTAGAGGTAATATAGGACCATTCTCCCTACCTCCCCACCCCCACCCCAGTGTGCCTTTCACATGCAAACCAACCCCTCTAGAGCCCACACCCCTCACCTACTGCCTTTATCAAGTTCTCACACACCACCAGGTAACAGGCAACTAGGGGCAGTTCCTACACTCCAGAACTCACTGAAATTATTCAAACTAGCAAATCCTAAACCTGCTTAGCCTGCTTCCCTCACCTTACCCCTTCCTTCCAGTGGAAGTGGCATTACAGTCTTTGCCCCCTCCCTCCTACCTCTTGACCCTGCCCTGATGCTTGCCAGTGGAACCAGGCA